TAACCAATGTCTCTTCCATTACGTATAATCACCACTTGATGAACTTTACCTGGAAATATAGTCACTTTTGTACTGATGAAAAGAGAGGTGCCATTACTATTCTTCAACACATCACTGGCAAGAGTCCAAAAATACGACGATAAATAAAAACAAATGAAATAATTGACACGTTTTCTGGAAAACTACTTAAAGAGATACATAGAGAAAGATCGGTTGAGTGATATCGTACGAGCGATTCAGTCTCATTGACTGGTTAAACTGCATGTATATGCAATGCCTCAAAGAAAAAAATACACGTATATGGTTTCCAGACGTTATTTTCTGGGTTATGATGTCAGCATTCGCAAGTGAAGGACCGTTACGAAGGAAAAAAAGGTCGTCAAAACAAGTAAACAGTACAGATAAATGTTGTAAAAAAAATAAATAAAAAAGTAAAAGCCTCCTAACACATTACATGTATTTTGGGGAAGCAGGTTTTCTTTCGCTAACGGAAAATGCTACCACATAAAATTAAAGTGACCGAAACTCGAGCAGAGCTAGATCAAGGCCTCTAAAAAAACCCTGTAATTATAAAGATCTTAAATCGTTCGTATCTAGGCCTATCATTGCTAGCACACAACGTCTGTCGAAAGCTGCGGCTATTACCTATGAACGAGTTCACCACTCTCATGTTAATGAAGCAACAACTATCAATACGCTATGTGTTACGCCCCAGCTACAGGACAGTGATCGTGAAACTGAGGCTTAGCCAAGTTACGAATTCGAAAGAACACTACGGCAAACTCGAATACGTGAACGAGTGCTGGAACTTTATTGTTGCAGTTAAGCCAATCGTCCAACAGGCAAAAAGGACTGAATCGCTGGTACTTTGGCAACTACGCAGGATGCCAAAAACTGGTAACCTAAGTTTAGAAGGCGCAGTGGGTGTGGGTGCTATGGCCACGGTCGCCTGGACCCTTGTTCTCCACGGCTCCCATGGATGCGCACCTGTTCATCCAGGCAACGTGCGAGGACTCGTCAAATACCTGCAGGTCCACCGCGGTACCCTGATAGTGGTAAGACGTGTTGGAGTGACAAGCACCAGCAATGGAATTGACCTGATATAGAAAAGAAACGTTTAGAATGTGCTTTCAGACATTTGCTGGACAGGACTTACATGGGACTGTAATAATAGCCTACACGACTGCATAAAGCTATCCAATAAATGTCTCAAAACGTTTTAATAGTTTCTTTTTCTTGGGACTGGCGTCGCCTTCGCGTACATTCATTTTATTTATCATTTATTTTAACAGTATATGGTTGCGAGTTTTGAGTTCTCTGAAACTTTCCTCATGTCTCTGAAAATAAGGGAAAAAATCACCAGGACGGTTTCAAACTTCATGTAGGCCTAGACCTGGAATTTTGGAGTAAATTCAACTTTAGCCCAGTTGATTCCCCTTAAGTCTTGAACGTGCCTTTCAATTTTGTATCATTTTAATAAATTTTGACCCGATGAGCGTGATTTTTTTATCGTAATTGGTTCACTGTATACCACCCCAATGACTGAATGGGAATCCAGACGGAACGATTATCCAACCTGAAAGCTGGCGCCCGAGTTCGCCAGCTCAAGTAGGTACTGCAACACGTCTTCACTCAGACAGATCGAACCTCCTGGCGAGCATCCCGTCTTGCCACCGCTCAACGTGCAACAATAGCTGGATATGGTAAGGTTACCGTTCACTAAATTGAAGTAATATCAGGCCAGCTCAGGTCATTTTAGGTCGGGTCAGCTCTGTAAGCAAGATTTATCCAGCCACAAAGTCTACCGTTACATGTAACATGAGAAAGTAACATGTTTCTCGACCTTTCTTAAATGAATAGATGTATAGGGGTTACAATCGATACATATGAAATATTCGATTTCATTCGGTTTCGAACGGTGGAATCGAAAAGGTTACCCGTCACAACTTGCGTGGCTGTAACTGAGGCCCAATTTTCAGAGCAGGGTGTTTGGGGAGGGAATTTTCCATTTAGAGGGACACTCTATGGATGGCTTTGTCAATAATGGATTCAAACAACGCAAAATGTTCCATCGTTGCGCCTTCACCAAATTTTCAATGGCGGGCGAGGCAAGGAACTCGAGGGAACAAGGACTTATGGGGGTAGTGTCGCTGGTGTTACCATTAGTTCCAGTTTTGCCAGGCTGATTGGATTTCAGGACGATTTCATTTGCACATTGTTGACGAGGGGGGGCAGAGCTTTCCAGTTCCCTCCTTTAGCAAGTCAGACTCTTTACTGTGATGATTGGATTACCTTGACCTCCTCGCTTCTCCACCATCGCACGTGTCCTTGATGTTGGATTTGGCATCTGCTCCATCATTGACCCCGGAGGGGTTGACATTTAGCAGAGTAATACGGCTGTCGCTCTGGACCTGACAGGCCAGTGATTGGACAGTCGAACCGCAAATGCCCGATGCTGTATAAAAAAATCAACAAATGAAACGACGAATGTCATTAACCGATTCCTTTTATATCGTACCCATCGCAGAAGAATATCAATCTTCATCAAAATGAAGTGAGATTTTGTGGAGGTGCTATAATGTACACCGTTACCACTGGAACAGTACCAACAACTCGACACCAAGACGGTCACAAAAGCCAGCTAAAAATCTACAACTGTGCTCAGTCATTCATTCTGATCTATTTGAATACTTTCAAGTCCGTTGGCGCAGACGATTGTATATCATTTGGAGAACATTTTGCGAAAGGGGTTAATAGCGCTTTAGGGACCTACTGAATCCATCAAACGCTATAAAGTAAGCTGTTGCGCCAGCTGTGTACGGTCTCTCCCATGGTGTACTAAGGCCACGTAACGCAGGGTGGTAAGTGTTGTGTGGCAGAAAGGTGAAGCTTATAAGCACGAAGAAATTCTCCTCCTGTAGCCCATCTGATATCGTGCTAGGCTCCAATTTTCATGCTTTTTTGAATGATATTAAGAGGTCGCGACGTTCATTTTAATGAAGCCTGAAAGACGACCTCTTCTGTAACCCTTGGATAAGAAAAAATGACATGCAAAAACATGCAAAAACATACAGTTTTTATTCGAACCGTTTACCTCTTCAATAACTACCTCAGAAAAGGTTGGAAAAATTCATTTGCACAATAAATTTATCAAAACTAAAAAAATGCCTGGACCTAAAAGAGAAATTTCATGCTAAGAACAACATTTACCCCGCTGCCAAAAAACATTTACTGCGCGGCCAAACACCATCCACCGCGCTTCACCGCGCTGGTGCGCGCTTTTTATGGAGGGCGAACATGCTTAGCATCTGGGCCTGTTCCAGGCTGCCTTGGTTAGGCACACAGTCCCTCTTTGATTGCCCCTCTTTGGGATGCCCAGGATTCGGTACAGGCAGTGGATGAGAAAGCTGTTGAGGCAGTGCTATTGACATGAGCGGGTGGTCCAGCTCTCACTCCTTTGAGAGCAAATACCAAAGTTGGTCGGATCCGGATCTGCATGATCCTCTACGTTGATGTTTCACACCCGACTGGTGTCTGGAGGCTTTATAGCGACTTTGGTCTCACCATATAAGCCTGCAGAAGACATAGATCATTTGCAAGGGTGCAAGTGAAGCTGCCAGTATATCACTTGGCGACTGAAAGCGGTCGAGGAGTTTACGTACCTGGGATCAACTGTGCCTAGAAACCAGCCCTTTCACCCAGACCTAAACAAGAGGATTGAGAAAGCCACTGCCGCCAAGGCCAGACTGTCCAAGAGAGAAGGGCAAGCCCACCACAACCACCATCGTCTCAGTAAACAAAGCCTGCTTGCCGAGTACTCTCCTCTACAGTAGCGAGGTTTAAAAGTTTGCCGTCAGGCCTATAGGGTATAGTTATAGTCTGTCTTCAGGTAACTTGAAGGCTTGCGACACTACATGTGGGAACAGAAGATCTCAAAAAGTGCTAGGGCGAGGACACAGCCCAGCTTCATATATACCACTGTAAATAATTCGAAATGGGTTAGAAGACGATCCATCAAATTGCACTGTTCCCTGCATGTCCACGTGAAAGGAGGCGATAAGCTTCAGCAGCTTGAGTAGGCATCCAATCTCCAGCAGTCTGGAGAGGTTCCTCCTACTGACCAGCTGGGGGCAATTTCATAGAGCTGCTTAAGTACAAATTTGCTAAAGCGTGAAAAAAACCGTGATAGATAAATCATGTTACCAGCCCAAACTCCATGCAATGTATGTTATTTTGGACTGGTATTCACCTGTCTTTTGGCTAGCATGACAATTACATAGATTTTGAGCTGGTAAACCTTGTTTTTTAAGCAAGGTTTTTTGTGCTGAAGCAAATTTTGTGCTTAAGCAGCTCTATCAAATTGGCCTCTGGTCAAAATCTTACTACAGATCCACGAAGGCGAAGTAGAGGAGCTGCCTATGCCCATAGCATTTTTTCCTGCTGCTGTCTGAGTGAGATCGTGTCAATGGTATATCTTACTGCCCTGGGACTTGGGGTGCACCAACTCAGACAGTGCCCGCAGCTTCTTGAAAAATGGCGAATACCTTGCTGATGATGCTAAGCAGGGATATGCCGTGGAGTAGTTGTTACAGTTATTGCGTTCTCCAGTGTTCTTAAACATCAGCGTAGTTATGTTGACGTAACGCATGCGTAGGGGTACTGATCCCTTTTCATGCATTGACAGAGTAGCCTATGGGGTGGCTGAGGACCACTGGCTTCCCATAATAGATCTCTTTGGAAGGGATGTTGTCCTTTCCTGGTGACGTGCCATTTGCCAAGGAATCTATAGCTTTGTCGAACTTCTCCTTTTAGGGGGGAGGGGGACAACTCCTATAACAGACAGGACAAGGGCTGTGTCAGACACAACGTCACCTGTGGAATACAGGTCTCGGAAATCTATCCAGCCCGCCGCTTCATCTACTTGTTTCAGTCAGCGATGACATTATTAGTCTTAGATTAAGTGGGGCGATTTGTCTGATGCTCTGGCCGAATGCCTTCTTCGTGCTCTCTTTACATGCCCTGAACGGTGCCACCGTCAACAAAGGACTAGAAGTTCTGTGTATGGAGGTCCTGGGCAGCCCAGACGTCAAGACCCCCTCTTGGCCTCACTAATGTGGTCCAAAGAAAGCATAACAGTACATGTGGCATCAGCTTGGCTTCAGAAGTTGCCGGAAGGTGACAGGATGTGTCAGCCAACCGCCTTAGGGACCCTACGGCATATAGGGTTTACTCTTTATTTTTCTCTCTTCCTGAAGATAGGCAGTGGGCCATTCTCCCATTTGCAGCCTTGTTTTATCATTATACCAAGCTACGCTGCGGGTAATTCTTGACTGTGCAGTCCCCAGAGTGCGCAAAACTGTCTGAAGTATTTATAAATGCGACATAATATTAACCAAAGGAGATGCATGCAATATACAATCTAACGGTTGTCTCGAAATATACAGGGAAGTACTTGGTCTTTCTAATACTCGCGGAGAGTTTATTTGTAGTGGTTAGTATTGTAAAGTATGAAACTTAGTTCACTTCTCGACAGATGTTGCGGAAATATCTTGAGTAGAACAGCAATCAATAAGCGCATGGCGTAATGTTACGGAAGTAATTGCATCTTAACACCATTACTGCATATTAGCAATTCGGTATAAAGGTTTCCCAAACAATCAAAGTACGATACTAATTTCATAGGACTTATTATGAACTTATAATTGTTAAAGATCATTTAAAGGGTAGCTGCATGCAATCAATTTTTTGTGATGACAGACCTCCAAAGGGCACCTTTGTGCCTCAGTTAACCTCATATTCAACTTTTGTTTCATTGCTAATGAGTATTTCCATATTCAGGAGTAAATCTGTGAGGTAATCTCAAGAAGAAGCCTCAAAAGTGTACATTCCTTTGAATTTCGTCCAATGCAAGGCAAATAGTTTGATGCATTGACAGTTTTGTAGAACACAAAAATTCCTGTTTTCATATACTGTCCTGTTCATCTTATAAGCATGTATAGAAGTTTTCATACGCAGTCCGTTCAACGTGCTCATGTTACAAACAAATTCCTCTTTATCGAGCAGTGGAGTTCACTGATTCTGTCAAAAAACTGTAGTTAAATTGCCTGATTATGACGTATAATAGAACATTCTTTGTTTTGTGCACTGCTGTGCTCATGTTACAGTTTACTTGTTTACTTGTGTTAGTGTTTACATCCTGGGTATATATGTTACCGCTTCCTCTCTTTTGAGCTCGGAGTTTACATCCTGTCCAACTTGATACTGTCAAACAACAGGTCTTTCTTGATTTCTATCACTGTATCCATTTATTTTTGTGCCAGATCCTCTTTAAACTCTTATTACTCACATTAATAATCAATCAGTTTATAACTTGATCCAAAAAAAAAAAAATCAAGCCCCATAAGGCGTATTTAAGGCTTGTTGCAGACACAATTTATCCACCTACAGAGCTGACAATGAACAGAATGGCTGGACCTAGTGTAATCGGCATATTTGGCGTGAAGGACGTTTCGATCATCTAAACGATAAACCGACAGGATGAAATACACATAATAAATGAATGAATTAATTAAAAAGAAATAGAGTGAAACAGCCTCTACAACGTATCTGAATATAATCCTGTGAAATTTTAAATGAATCACTAACCCGTAGTTGGCAAAGCTGTGGTTGGTGGAGAGCTGGTAGTTGGCTGAGCCGTGGTGGTTGCAGAGCTCGTGGTTGGATTGGTGCAGCCGCTGGGGAAATCGGAGCAGCAATCAGAAGCCTGCTGACAGTAATCGTCGCAAAAACAGGACGTCCCCGGAGCCGTACATGCATCATTACGGCCGGGGCAGCAGCCCCCTGGCCGCTCCGAGCAGTGCTGGGCCCAGGCCATCCCGATCAAGACAGCTAGTATGGCACCAAGGAGTCCGTACATGGCCATCTTGGTGGATATCACAGAAGAATTCGACTTTCACCGACTGTTGATTAAGAAACGTGTCCTATGAGAAGGATAAAGACTGTGCTCAACTTTTAAACCTCAAACGTCCCTCACTTCTGACGAAGAACAACGACAAATAACTTCTAAGCTTCAATAGCTAGTGTTCGACTAGTAATCACAAAACGAACCTGTTACAAGTATTTGCATTTTGAATAGTTTACATCAGCTAACGTATATTATGTTTAATAGGAGCAGAATAACGTGCATAACATTCTAATTACACAATTAAACTGTTTTGTGCATAATGTGCTGTTAATTTGCACCCGAACACACCTCACCACGCACAAAACATTCTGATTACACGATTAAAATGCACAGGTTTTATCTGTGAAAACAGAATGCCCAGTGACCAAGACGTGTAAAAAAAACCAAGAGGCAATAATTATTGTTGCAAAATTAATTATTTTAAAATCACAAAAAGGGGTAAATTGCTGTCTCTGAACCATAGTGTGCGTGAAGTTCACTTGATTCTGCACAAATCATAAAACTCACCAAGTATGCACTCCAGAGTGAAAAATACTACTGCCCAGGGTTCCACATAAGCGAACTGGTACTCGGAACGTTTTCACCTCCTTATATTGGCCATAACCAGGATCTAAAACCTCGATGTTATCATGTTTCCGAACAAGAAACAGGACTTAAGCAGTGTAAAAAGCATCATGCGTGAAGGATACAGAAGTGTCGCAAAGGGTGCTTGTTTGCCGTGGAGCAAATAAATAATAATAACAAAAGGATGAAGAAAATAAAGCAGGCTTGGCGCCAAGTATAGACCATCCAGGGTTCACTTAGTTGGGAAACGAGAGGGGAAAACTACAGGCCCAAATGTTGGACATGAAGTGTGAACTTGGTAACATATAAACAGGCATGGAAGCCAAACAGATGGGGGAAGTAAAGTATACTCGTGTCCGAGGAACATTTTTGCATTGACTTCCTTGTTTTGACGAGCATAATTCATAGCAAGGTCTAAGTTAAGCTTGCAACTGACAAAAAGAATCTTAGGATTTAAGTAACTGTACACTGTTTACTGCCTACATGTAAAACAATGTGCAATGTCCATGTAGGCTTTTTTGCTATATTAACTTGGATGGGATTTCAAACTATTAATGGTGACAGACAACTAAGGTGGAAAGCTTGCGGTAGCACCATTCAAGGATACGATCTCTTTTTTGAGTCTGATGGTTCTGAACGGTCTCATGGTTCTTTCCGGAACCATACAGACTCAAAAAAGAGATTGTATCCTTACATCGTGCTACCGCAAGTTTCCACCTTAGTTATATTAATTTGGCTGAGTATAACAGTTTTAAATGAGTCATTTGCTATTGAGATATCAACTTCTGTGGCTTTGAAGTCTTACATGGTCCGATCACAAGACTTCAGAGAGCCATGTGAGTGATGCAACCAAAGGGACGGGGGGGGCAACTGCTCAATATTGGGAACTCTTGCCCCTCTCCTCTTGAAAATTGGAATTGGAACTGTAGAATTGTACTTGAACCCATCACATCTCTGACTCCCTCCTCCACATCCCCTAACCGCGCTTGAACCACATTGGATTATACAAACGCAACTGTGGAGTGAGGGGAAGCAAGGGGGACACACAATCTTAACACTGACTTCAAGTCACGCTGCTCCATGAATGCAAGAGCGGAATGCGGAATCGGCCCCTCGACATTTTATCCTGATATCGCTATAGTATTTTTCACAAGCTGAGCCTACAGGATTTTCTCGGGGGGGGGGGGGCTCTTTACAGTCATTTTGACTCTAACGTTTTGAAAATTGAACATACCTCGTTCCTCTACTATTTCCAATCGTTTTATATTTGGGAATGAAAATATTAGTGTGAGAATCTGATACAATAAATTCAATCGTGTGAAGGCAAGTGATCAATTATCATCTAGGAATTCTAATATTCATATTTAAAAGTAAATTGTCACCCAGCCCAGCAGTGTGAGATGCTTCTTCGAGAGGAATCTGCAGATATTCAGTTACATTTCGCAAGATTAGCAGAGGAAATTCACACAATTAAGGACCATATCATTCATAAAAAAAGATTGACACTGAACCCTCTTCTCTCGAATCAGTCCCCAACGCCTTTCTTTCGCACTGTGTAATATTCGACTTACTCCTGGTTTCATGTAAGAAGTAACAATTCATGTCACACGTGCAGAATAAACAGTCCAACTTTCAAAGTCTTGTACTGCAAATTTGGTCAGTGTTTCATTTACCTCTTCCTTCAGTATTTGGCTTTGTTCAGTTTATTGATGAATATTTAAATTCTAATCTTAATACATTGATTGTTTTACTGTTTTTAATTGGTTGGTTAAAGTCCACTTATCACAAACAGGATAGGCTCTATATCAGATTATAGGCCCTCCTTGGCGCCCCCATCTGTCAACACCTGCATTTATTTGTTGTATTACATAATTGTTTGTAAGTTGTGACACACGGAAAATAAAACCTCAATCCTATGAAGAACTCAACAGAGAAGAACTCGGCGATTCTGCCTAAGGCCCAAACTGGTCTAACTGTAGAACGCACAGTAAGTGTGGGTGCTGTGGCCGGGGTAGCCTGGACCCAAGTTTTCCACGGCGCCATTAGTTGACCATTTGTTCATCCAGTCTGAGTATGGAGAACCACTGAATATCTGCAGGCCCTGGTAGTGCCAAGAGATTGTGGAGTGACACGTCCCAGTAATGGTTTTGATCTTTATGGTTCAGAAAAAGCGACTAAACATTGTGTGCCAAATGTACTCTATAGTGCACTTTTGCTCGGCCTACTCTGGACAGTGGACGATAGCGAGTTCTTTTTTTTATTCGGTTTTAATCTTAAAAACCTTTTCTGGATGGTTTATGAAACCATTATGAAAGCATTCACTGCTTCGTCTACTCCAATTTATAAAATCTTTTCAATTGCATTCAGTCCAATGAATTTCCTCCGTATGTCTCTCACACCCATCCAAACTGTCTGGTGCTGCTCTTGTTCCACATGAGCAGGTCGTGGGTGCTGTAACAGGCAGCGGCGTATCCAGCATTTTTTTTGGGGGGGGATTAAAAATGAATACAGCTTTCGGGATTTTTCAACTTGATGTTGGAGGTGAGAAAAACATGTCAGAAGCCTTACTTACGGCCCCGACATCTTTGTTTTTATTTCATGGTGTTTTCAGAGGGTTTCGGTGCAACTTTGTAAAACAGTCCAGGAAAAAACTTGAAATTCATGGTGGCAGCCGTCCTCTACTCCACCAAGCTTAAGACGTAGAGGCGACATGTATGATTAGGCCCCTTCCCTGTACATCGCCCGGCCCGCGCCCGGCCGCCTGCGCTGCGCCTGCCTGTATCTGCATGCTGCACTGGTCTGTGTTCGGCTCTCTTGGTCCATCTGCACCACGCCGTCGCGCGATTCCATTGCACTATCAGTAGATACTGCATGAATTCTCCAACTTAACTTCTCCGTTTGGAAACAATCCTCCATAAATATTAACAAGAAGCAAAAGGCAAATTGTTGCCCATTAATATTGAGCAACAAGATCGATAGACCGCTTCAAGATCGCGCGATCGTGGACATCACCTTATCGCGGCCAACATGTCATGGTTGCGCATGGCATAGGACGCCCCCAACGATGGAACTAAGTCAGTTTGTTTGAGAATTTGTCTATAGATTGGCGTTGAGTTTGTTTGTTTGTCAAAAAAAACCGGGCGGCCAAAAGGGTCAAAATCGGCCACAAGGGTCAACACTAATTGCACCAGAAAAAAAAGGATTATACGATGGAACGAAATCTGGTTAAGAGTTCTTCTAATGATTTGCGTTTAGCTTCGTTGCTAAAAATTGAAGTGAACCCCGATCTTTGGTTTCGACAATTTGTTTTCTTTTGTTCTTTTTGTATCAATTATTTCGTATTTTGATTTACTGTTGTCATTTTAGGAACTTTTTTGGGGCACATTGTTTTCAAATGTTGGGTATTTATTTTCAAATAATTTCTTTTACTATTTACATTTTGAAAAATGCTGTTCGCTCGTATTTGTTTATTTTTGCTGAAATTAATTTCAGTTACATATTACTTTTAATTTTTGTTATTTAGTTTTTTTAATAGCTTATTTCGTAAATGGATTTAGGTATTAGTTTTGTGTTTTATTATTTACTTTTTTAATAAGAAAATGCTGTTTACTCATAATTGTTTATTTTTGTTAGAATTAATTTGGCCCTTTTGACCGCCCATAGTAATCACCAGCCATTTTTAAAAACAGTCACACACGACGCGACAGCACGACACGACGGTGCAACGCAATGGGCGACGGAAGGAGCGGCGCTCAGGCAGAAAAGTATGCAACGTGGAAAGGACGTAGGACAGTACGATGAAATGAGGTAATCATGTGATTTATAAATAAAATTTATAAAAAAATAAAAAATTATTTATAAAATCTACAACCCATCTTGCATCTTCATTATCCACTGAAATTACACTTTGACAATCTCAATTTGCATTTTTTTATTTATATAATACCTACGATCAATTTGTTTTCATGTAAATCTTCAAGATGCACCTTTCTGTCTTAGTTAACCTACTTTCAACTTTTTTTTTCGCTATTTCTTTTTGTTTTCATTCCAATGAGTATTCCCATATTCATGAACACAACTGTGATTCTATCCCGGGAAGAAAGCCTCAATGTAACATAGGACGGCAAAAGAAGTGACTTATGAGAGAATGCAAGTATTAAAGTCCACATATTAAACAAAGTCCGCACAATAAACACTTTTCAACTACATGTTTATTGAGAAGGACTGTGAAGAGGCTCTCTGCACAGGGCAAAGTATATGAAAAACTAAACCACAGATCAGATCCACCACAAAACCACTCCAAAGACGGTGCACGTCCATCATGCCGTTTTCATGCACAGCAACTAGGGAAATATGGAATGGTCAGTACTTGTATTTGATTTTTAGAAATTGTTGCCAATGACAGGTGCATGTTGGCGGTATTCTGAGTTCGAAAGGGGACATTACTTGACTAAGTAACGGTGACTTCAAGTTTTGCTGTGCCATTTTTGTAACTTGAATTCCGATATTAAACGTACGGCCAATGATGCTCAGATTAACTAAAATGACATTAAGTTTAATAAAGTCAGATCACAATTAAATGTAACGTGAGGGGAAACTGAATAGGTTATGCACCTTTTGCGGCGAGTATGGGGTAAAAGCTTGCCTGATTTGACATTGCATTTTCGATGTCATTTTCTGTTGTTGAAATTCCTGCAACTAGGGAATGTTCGTGTCTTTAGAGTTGATTTTATAATTTTCCTGCTTGTATTTTTTGGGCAGACCTGATAGGCCAGTGTTGGATCAACCATTCGCCAAAACAAGTATGAGTTGCAACGCACTTGTTGCAACGTTTGGGTGACCCAAGAAGATATGGGACAGATTTTTATGAGAATTTCTTTTTTAAGACATCAGATTATTCTGCAGTTCAAAGTTAACTAAATTTATTGTTATAACAAATGAAAGTGCATTTCAATCAAGAAAATAGGGAGGCAAGTGCCGCCCGACTTTGCCATCGCTCACTCTTGAGTCATTGATAACAAACATTCGCTATACGCCTCAAAGCTTTCATACTGAGATCACTTAGAAGAAATGGACATAAACACGGTTGGCATTGGCTTCATTGTCGAAAATATAGGAAATTAAGATCAAAACAAATCAGCATCAATCCAACAGCTGACTGTATTCAAACCTTGTTCTGCACCAAATGAAAAAAAAATGTGGTGAGGGAAAAATCCAAAAGTTATGCG